CTCATTTCCCCTTACAACCCCAGATGGGACCTCTGCTCACAGGATCAAAATCTCCTTATGGTTCCCCTCACTCGCTTTAAGACCCGTGGTGACCATGCCTTCTCCTCTGTGGCCCCCAGGCTCTGGAATGAACTCCCAGTTAATCTGAGCTCCCTTGACAACAATGTCTCCTTCAAGAAAAATCTAAAAACCCACTTTTTTACTCAAGCTTTTAGCTAACCATTCACCATTAATGGCAGCCTACCCCTTTAGTGACTGCTCGCCAACCATCTGTTTTTTGAATTATTGAACAAACAGCATCATTTTCTCTTTCCCCCTTCTCTGTCTGTTTTTGTATTATTCTATATTTAGCATGAATTTCACCCCCTTCTTTTATTCAACAATTTTTCTTAGATTTGTAGTCTTGCATACATAACACTCATCTCTTGTCATGCTCTGCCTCGACCGTGTGTCTGAGTTACAATTTTAGAATTTAATCCTGATTTGATGTTTCATTATGTTGTTTATGTTTTATTATCTTTTATTTTGTTTCATTTTATCTTTTCACCATTTTTACATTGTTGATGATTGTACAGCACCTTGTGAATATATTTCTGTGAAAGGCGCTTTATAAATAAAACTTTACTTACTTACTTACTTACTTACTTACTTTATGTATGTATATAAAAAATGTCAGAAAGCTATGTGAGTTATGTAACAGTTTAAAATTAAAATAAGCTTATAAAGCTGATGCAATCAATGTTAATTACTGAATTGTTTGCACACATTAGCTTCTGTAGCTAAACAGTGTATAACTCTGCTGAAGCATGCTACAATTTAGCCCAAATTAAATATTACAACTGATTTTGCCTCTGATTTATGTAATATTTTCAGTGTAAAATAACATATTCTGTTACGCAAACCTGACTTATTGAGAAAATGGCTAGCCAATATCAGACAAGTTTAATCATTCAAAGTATAGCCAGGTATTCAATGAACATTTTTAAGTGTCGACTACAAAACAGGTAAATAACTATAATCATAGTTATAGTTATAATTATTCAGCTAGCTTAAGAGTCTGGTTTAGATCATTGTTACTTATGTATCTTCTTTAGATTGGCTAGCTGTTTTACATGATTGTAGAATAAATTTAACATAACTGACTATTTTATTAATGAATTGCAAACAAAATTACAAATAATTTGTGACACAGATCCAGTTAGACTGGCTGTTAATACTGTAAATAGTTTCTATATGTCTGCTGTGAGCCGTTGCCCTGTTTGGACGCCATCTTTGGTCCTCCATGATGTCACAGATACTAACAGTGGACATGGATGGAGCTCTGTCTAGTGATAATTAACTCTATGATCTTGTGTGATCCGTTATTTTGAGAATAACTCCACCTTCTGAAAGTCCAGTAAAATCCATTCAGTAGTTCAAAAGATATTTTGCTAACACTACAGCTAAACAATCACATCTTTCATCTGCAGTGACTGACGATAAAAACAGCCATTTATTTTAACTTAAGACTGGTGAAAACATAATGTACACATAGCTTCACACAAAGGACACTGCTCCCCCAAATCAGATTCCAAGCACGTAAGACTACGTCATAAATTTTTAGCTATGCATTTCTCAGTTTAGTTAACAAAAAAAAGATCTTTGGTATCCTGGCAACATTATGTCGATGACAAAGAAGTCACTCCAGTCGTCTGAGAGATTGCCCTGCAGTTTAAACCCTACACAACCCCACAATGTGAGTTAGATTACAAAACAAGACACAATGTGGTAAATGGTGACCTTTACATGAGCCGCTGGGTGAATCAATTAATCCTACACAGACTGAAGCTACTCTACGTCTTCTCCTCCTCCTCTACAATAAGTGGAGTTGTGCTTTCATGAATTGGCTCACTCGCTACAAGAACACAAATAAATATCCAAAAATGACAAATCATTCCTCTAAAAATGTCTTGACAGTATTACCTTTGGACTTTCTTTTAACTATAATCCTGAAAATGTTGTATTTAAAGAATCGCCTGTTCGGTAAAACACTGATTTTACATTTGTCTCTAATATACACACTCCAGACATGACGGGTACAAATGGTTTTGACCATCCGTCTCTTTAAAACCTTATTAGCAAAGAACACAATATCAAATAGTGATTAATGGGTAATAGTAATAGCTTGAGATGCCATGATCAGACATCATTGCATAAAATTCCTATTAAAGTCAGTTAATCAGATACAGAGGGAGTTGTTACTTGTAATAAGGCACTCCCCTTTACAATCAACCTGCAGGATATTCAGTTTAGCTGCTTTCTTCATGTACACAGAAGCACCCACGGCTCTTTGACATTAAAGGTGACTGTCTCCTTTCTGCAAAATCAAACAGATGATGGTTTGGAATGTGTTCCCTCATCTGCACTGCTGACTAAAATCTGTCACCGTGTTTAATCCTCTGAACGAGGAGGAAAATCTTGAAACGCTAAACACAATCACCAATGGAGGAAAACTTGTTCTATTTGCAGCTTTAAAAAAAATCTGCTGTAGTCAGGAAACAGTTGAATGGAAAGGGAACAATAGTGTGTGAAGAGGCCACACCTGGCCGGGACACCTGGTGAACTGCAGCAGCACAAACATGCCTCCATATTTGTGCTCTTTTCCCAAACAAGCAGAGGACAAGAGTCGCTTTCCAGTAAAGGGAGAGTTTCGTCCATTTAAGAAAAAAAAAAGCTTAAAGTGGATGCAAAGTGGTTGCTGATCTAATTGCGTTCTGGTGGGTTTTAACATTTAAAACAAACATTTCATGAGATTTTCACACGTTTAGTTTTCTGAAATCTGATCCGTTTCACAGGATCATCGCGACAGAAAAAGCTGATGAATCAATGAACTGGTTATGAAAGCGAATATTAGCTCTGTGTTGGCTCATTAATCATTTAATTGATCAATAATTGAAGCTCTGGCTAAGACTGACACATCTACTGACTGGTAGGTGACAGTGAAAACCATGGAAGCAATAATGAGTTACTGCTGACAGAAAGGATTTACAGCCCTAAAAGCAGAAACACTTGCTTTCCTCTAATCCACTTTTCCACTGGCAACAGGGTCTAAACTACACATCTGATGTGCTAAAAAAGAAAACACCTGCCCTTGTTTTATGTTCCACTTTCTGTACTTTACTCCAGATAAGACTGGCTTTTCTTTTGGCAATCAATCAACTTTCAAATGCATTTTCACCTCAGCGATCTGAACTAAAACAATACGCGAAGAAGGGACCATATTATGAAGGTAGTTCTTCATACTTTATTGTCACTTTGGTCAAACTTTGAGAATTACAATAGATTCATGATCTCCTGCAATGTTGTGAGATCTTATGAGATGTGTCAAGAAATTTTCATTGGCTCTCAGCTACCATGGCAGGTTTGAACTTAATACCAGCGAAATGTAATTCATTATTTTGGCACCAAGTGTAAAATAAAATGTTACAAAATTGTCTCTAACACAGTTTCATTTAGCTCACTTTCTGACTGTAAAAATCCTAGTTAGAAATCTCAACTAATATTTTATTGTTATTCAGCGTTCTTCTTGTTCTTACATTTGGCTCATTTTTCTAAATGTTAAGTTGCATTTTAAATGTTATGTCTAAGTGTTAAACCCTAAATCTAAATGTGTAAATGCTGGTAAATTTTGTGGCTAAATGTTTACATTTACAAATTTCAGAATGGAATGCCTTTACCATTGGTGCAGCTGAAGGAAACTTTGTAAGTGATGAATATTTGATCCAGTATTGTATTTTAATACTTTCTGATCATTGCAGTCATGTGGTTTAAAACAGAGAATGAGAGTTTGTGTGTCTTATCGATGTGTTCTTTCTGTCTTCATAACAAAGTTGGTTAGGGTCTAACGTAAAAGGTAACACTTTCACCCATGGTTGATTCATCATTATGTGAGAGGAGGTTTTTTGTTATTGAATTTGCAGTCTCTTACTTAGAGCAGGCTACTTCTGAGAGTTTGTTTATGTTCAGATCAGGCGCCAAGGCCTTTTGACTGGCTGAAGCCTGACTGTGTGTACTGCCGTGGAGCTGACTGCAGCAGATTTGAAATAAAGTTTTTAGAAGAGATTCATCTGGTTTTCTGCTATATTATTCAGACTTCCATTCATTGATCATAAATTTCCTTCACAGCTTTTGTTATGACATCATCATCCCGTGACAAAGCTAAATGCTAACACTGCTAATGCTGCCAATGCTTCCCTATACGAGACATCAAACTTGCAGATGTGTCTGAGCTGCACTTCAGCAGCCAGACCACACGTACCATCCACCTTGTTTTCAATGAACACATTTTGAATTTAAATTTTAAATGCCATCTTCAGTTAGCTTTAGTCGCAGGATGATGACATCACAACAAAAGCCCTGCAACATCTGCCCAGGCTGTGTTTCATTCTGAAATTCTTTATCGTTTAAGATTTAATTTTTACATTTAGATTTACACATTTCACATAACATTTACCTTTAAACTGAATATTTAGTATAACCTACAAATTAGCTGAATAGTGCAGTTAAATAACAATAAAACGTTAGATACGTTTTTTTAATGGCACTCAAAATTATGAAAACGAGTTAGTAACATTTTTTAACATTTTATTTTACACCCCATAAATTTACAGCCATTTTTGTGTAAGGTTATTTGGCTGCGGTGGCCATTTTGAATAGGGTTGACCCCAAACTTTAATTATTTGTTGAACACCCAAATGATCTACTCAGTAGCTCATGAGATGTTTTGTCATGTGGTGCTCAAATGTATTTGAAAGACTTGAAGGAATCTGTTAAAGGACTTTAATCACTTGGAAGTGGGTCAGCCTAATGAGTGGAAACTTGCCTTTTGTTTGTGACACTTTACTTACCTTTGTGTTTGCGTCTGAACACGTGTTCACTCTGTAGTAGAATAGGCTAATAA